CAGTTCCCTAAGTCTCTCCTCATAGGGCATGGTTTCCAGACCTTTTACTATTTTCGTGGTCCTCCTCTGGACATGCTCCAGCTTGTCAACATCCTTTTTGAATTATGGTGCCCAGAACTGGACACAGAATTGTTCCAGGTGAGGCTTGAACAAAGCAGAATAGAGTGGCACTATTACTTCGATCTAGACACTATACTTCTATTGATGCAGCCTAGAATTGCATTGGCCTTTTTAGCTGCTGCATCGCACTGTTGACTCATGTTCAACTTGTGGTCTACTAGGACTCCTAGTAGTCTCGTTAAGCCAAGCGGCATTAAGTTACGAAGTCTCATTAAGCCAATTTCTGTTGCTATTCACACATGCAACGAGAACATTCACAGCTATAAAGGTCTATTCCCAGGCATCTCAGGAAGTAGACCAAGTTTGCAAAAGCTTATGCTACCAACTTTCCCCCCTCAGTCCCAAAGTGCATCTACATTGCAGAAATAACAGTTTGACATCACTTTAATTGCCATGGCTCCATCCTACTGGATCCTGGGATTTGTAGTTTTGGGAGACACCCGCATTCTTTGGCAGAGAAGGCTAAAGACCTTGCAAGACTACAAATCCCAGGGTTCCGTAGGATGGGGTCACAATCACTCTGTGCAACGGTGGTTGATGCATAATGTATCACCAGGGTCACCTCCTGTGATATCATAAAGGGCTTGTCCCTACATCTCAGGTCTGGGTACAGCAATCTCAGGTTCTGGGCTATTTCTGACCTGGAAAACCTACATAGGACTCTTCTTCAGATCAAATAAAATGTGCGTGTGTTGGAAGGGGAGGGTTTGGAAAGGAAAAAACTTGCTGGTAACCTGACACAACAGAAGAACACAAACAACCATCCTACAGCATTTGAAATCTTCAGATGATGATTCAAGATGTTCCAGGCACAGACTTGTGGGGGTGGAAGGAGAGCACTCAGTTGGTGAGACACAGCTGGCAGAAAGTCGAGGCAGAAATGCTGGCACCCGCCGGTCTATATCCCTCCTGCCTTGGGTTTAAAGACCCTGTATGGTGGTCCCTTGGTATCTGCTGGGGTTTTGGTTCCAGAACCCCTCATAGGTACCAAAATCCATGGATGCTCAAGCCCCATTATATACAGTGGCCTTGTAAAAATGGTGTCCCTTCTATAAAATGGCAAAATCAAGCTTTTGCCTTTTGGAACATGTGTATATATATTGAATATTTTCAAGCTATGGATGCTTGAATCTGGGAATAAAGAATCCATGGATATGGAAGGCTGATTGTACAAGTCTATCTGAGGTCTAGGCTCCTCAGAGGAGCCCTCTGCTTCAGTCCCACTTTCCTTAGTAGTTGTTCCAGGTCTGGGAGGTTTTCTACTAGTATTATGGTGTCATCTGCATATCTTAGATGGTTGATATTCCTTCTTCCTATTTTCACAACTCCTTCTTTGTGTCCAAGCCTGCTTTTCTTATATTATGTTCTGCATACAAGTTGAACAGATCGGGTGAAAGGATGCAGCCTTGTCTGACCCATTTGCCAATTGGGAACCATTCTGTTTCTCCGTCTTCTGTTCTGAGAGTAGCCTCTTGTCCTGAGTACAGATTCCTCATTAGGACTATCAGATGTCTTGGCATTCCCAAGTATTTAAGGGCGTTCCATAGCCTTTCATGATCTATGCAAAGGCTTTGCTATAGTCTATAAAGCACATGCTGATTTTCTTTTGGAATTCCCTGGTGCGCTCCATTAGCTATTGCACACACATTTAAGGCAGGTTTTTGTTGTTAGCTGCCCTCAAGTCGGTTTGGACTCCTAGTGCCCCTGGGGATGAGAGATCTCCAAGAAGAGTCCCTCTCTTCCACTGCAGATCCTGCAAGCCCTTCTGCATAATAACCCC